ACCAGGAATCCGACTCCCCCCTCCCCCCTTTCTTCGGGCCTAAACCCTTTCTTGCCTTCCCTACCCACTGCTATTTCCCTAGTTTGCTTACCACGTCCCCATCCTTCGGGGGGGGGGGGATGAAGCACCGGCGGTTTGTGTGTGGGCTCGTGGTGATATGTGCGTGGGTTCATTCTTTTTCTTTCGCGTTCGACAGACGGTGGTAAAGACGGGACACGTCAACATAGAGATATGAACATGAATAATGTTAACACTCGAGAGCGAAATCCAAAAGGCCGCCGCCGCAGCAGCAGCAGCATGCCAGGTCAGACATATATTGAACATACTTCGAAGTATATCGGTAGGAGAGAGAGAGAGGGAGAGAGAGGGAGCGAGAGACAGAGACGTTTGGCACGTCGATGACACACTCTGTCGAGCTGGATTTGCAATAAAAAAAACCAATGCGGCAAAAGCAAATTCTAACCCTCTCCCCCGTCCCCCCGCTCGCTCGATCATCCACAACCTGTGTCGATGAGTTTATCTTTCATCTTCCTTCCCACCTGGTCGACCTGCATGATCACGGATACGGCGTGGGTGGCTTTGGTGTCGACGTGGTTTGCCAGCCAGCTCGTGTTGGTGTACACGCGTACCCCGTAGCAAGCCGTCTGCACCAGCTCCACCTGTGACGGGCGTGCAGCAGCAGCAGTAGCAGCGGCAGCAGCAGACAAGGAGAGAGGACAAACAAATCAGAAAACCAAGAAATGCTACACACGTTGTCGTTACTGCTGTTGTTGCGGCTATCTTGCGATGACGATGGGGATATTGGCGCGGACAGACCAGCAATACCAAGGAAGAGCCGGTATGGCTGTCGAAACGGTCACGTCAAAACAAGCTCTTGACTTTTCACCATCACGATCTTCGGAAATCACGCCCTGAAAATACCTCTAACTAAAACTCGAGCTCAACCTCCCCACCCCCCGCGCTTTTTCCAAAACACTTCTCGTTCGGAGCATTGGTGTCTTCCAAACCGCTAAAAAATATTGGCGAACGGCGAGGAACAGCTGTCTTAAGGATGACGACAACAAGGGTGTGCAAGTGTATGTGCCCATCATGTACCCGAAGGACTTACCCCCGACCATTCTTCCAGGATAGGCCTGAGCCCACCAAAGATCTGCTCCTTGAGCTTGCCGTTCTCCGGCAGGTTGACCATGTAGCTTGGCGCCTCCACGTTGTTGGTGAAGACGTTGTTCTTAGACCACTTTTCCTTCTTCGGCGATTCCCTGCAGGCGGTCAAGTAATTCCGGGCGAAGAGAACGGAAAAGGCGGGTTTCAAAAGATGGTACACGACGTATACACAACACTGCAACGTCCCGTTGAAATATAAAACAGGGCACTGATGTGTTGACATATTCACACTCTTGGCCGTACCACTTTCCCTGCCCTCATCGGCGCCGCCCATATTTCAGGGGAATGGTCAGGTTTTGTCATCCTGACTCCAGGGGTGATGCCTAAAGGTTTCATATGTAGTCGGACGTCGGACGTCAGCACACCGGCTCTCGCAACAGTAGGCGACGTTTTGTAATCGCGCCGCGCCACAGCAGTGCATTCGTCGACTGCTCGAAAAACGCTTCACGTTGACCCTCCCCCACGCTCCCCCCCCCCCCCCCCCCCCCCCCCCCCCCCCCCCCCCCCCNCCCCCCCCCCCCCCCCGGCTCTCTCTCCTTCCACGCTTCTTTGTTGTCCACTAACGCCAAACCCGCTCACTTGTTCTCCTCGTAGTAGGTCTTGACGAGGTCCCAGACGTCATCCGGCACCGTGGTCTTCTTAAACCCAACCTCGGTGAACCGCGGAAGCCCCTCCGGCTGCTTCCTGTTGTTAACCAGGCGCCCCTGGTCCATCTGTTTCCTGGCATTTCGCGAAGCGACGTCTTGCTGCGGTCCGTCAGACGACAGAACAAACGCATGTGGCGTGCGGCAAGAGGAAAATGTACGTTGGGAGTCCGGCGGGGAAAGGGGCACGAAGGGGGGGAGAGACGAGAATGCTGCATGGAAAAAAATACCATCACAGAAACGTAGGCACAGCACTGAAAAGAGAGAAGCAAGAGAACAACACTTGCACGATCGGGACACCAAAGCCTTCATCATCAAGCCATTTGCGAGGTCTTTTGCTCGCAATCTAGAGAAAGCTTGCCCTGCAAAAACAATCTTTTCTCTAAAATCGGCTACAGCGTCGTGGACACATGTCCAAGAAGCACACACACACAGAGACTACATTATCCCACAACAAACGACGCAGGGCCAGAGAAGACCTGTCGAAAAGTTGCTGTCAAGAAGATGATGAGAACGATGGAGTTGAAAGCAAGGAGGATGACGGTGAAAGCACTCCCAAAAGAACTCGAGTGCAAGCAAGTAGCAGCCTTGGTAGACGCGTGGAGCGGTTTTCTGCTGTTGCTTCCGTTTCTGTCTTGATCCGGAGAACATAAGTCTCCCCCATGCCGCCCCCTCACGGAGTCCCACTGAATGGCATTTACAACTGTTTCGTGTGTACAACCGCACTGAGACAGGCGTCTTTCATTGGTCAGCCGATTAGCGCGGTCGATGCAAATAACAAAAAACACAAAACACAAGAGCGCGCGTGACGTCATACACTACCCAAAAACCACTTTGTTGTGCCCCCCTCCCCCCTCGACTTTGGCACGGCAAACGCAAGGAGGATGACCAGCTTCGGGTTTCTCCTTGTGAAACATAGCCTGGCCCGGCGAAAACCAGGCACATCGCTCCGCCCCGGCATCGTAGGGATGCGAGGTCAATGGTCTAACTACTCGGGCATACGTTTGCATGAGTGCCCCCCCCCCCCCCCCCCCCCCCCCCCCCCCCCCCCCCCCCCCCCCCNCGCGTGGAGCGGTTTTCTGCTGTTGCTTCCGTTTCTGTCTTGATCCGGAGAACATAAGTCTCCCCCATGCCGCCCCCTCACGGAGTCCCACTGAATGGCATTTACAACTGTTTCGTGTGTACAACCGCACTGAGACAGGCGTCTTTCATTGGTCAGCCGATTAGCGCGGTCGATGCAAATAACAAAAAACACAAAACACAAGAGCGCGCGTGACGTCATACACTACCCAAAAACCACTTTGTTGTGCCCCCCTCCCCCCTCGACTTTGGCACGGCAAACGCAAGGAGGATGACCAGCTTCGGGTTTCTCCTTGTGAAACATAGCCTGGCCCGGCGAAAACCAGGCACATCGCTCCGCCCCGGCATCGTAGGGATGCGAGGTCAATGGTCTAACTACTCGGGCATACGTTTGCATGAGTGCCCCCCCCCCTCACCCCCCCCTGACTCTCACCGGCGTCTCCGTCCCCTCCGAAGTGCCGCAGGTCTCGGCGGTGCACGACCTCTCCGCCACAGTGAATAGCCCGTGGCCTTTAACGAGGTACCTCGACACCTCCTCTTGGGTCTCCTTATTGAGGGCCAACACCAGGGTGGTCTTGTAGCTCAGCATCCAGTTCTCTGTTCCTGGCGCAAGCCTGACGATGGTGATGGTGGTGGAGGTATTTGTGGCTTGAGCAAAGTTTTTGCCTTAGGCTGTCTGCCATGTGGCGAGGTTCGCGGTGTGCACGTGTACGTCACAGCGGCAACATCTTGTTGTCTCTACAGCAGCACGATTTAGTTGTAGAAGCACCTCTGATTCCTTACAAGAACGACATGGGCGCATCTCTAATGACAACAGTGCAACAATCAACACAAAATGAAAACCCTGTCCGTGATACACATGACTGATTTCCATTCCTTCCGCAACTGCTTTTGCTGAAAGTGAATATTATTCTTATCCTTGAAATAGCATGGCATCAACAACAAGCATCTCTTTCTTCTCTTCTCACGTCCTGATGTGCGTGGGCTTGACCGGTTCGTTCCACCACTGGTAGTGGATGTCCAGGTCGAAGTCCATCTCGTTCACGATGCCCACGGAAACCTGCTGGGTCTTGACGGCGTTGAGATGGTAGCTTCCCCTTTTGTTGGATATGAGAGAGAAAAAAAAATCAGAGAGGGAGAGGGACAGGGAGAGGGAGAGGAGGAGGGGATAGAGAGAAGATATGAGAGACACAGCTGGACAAAGAAGACAGAAATGGAGAAAGACATAGAGGAGACAGAGGGAGATTCAGCGAGACACAGGAGGTCAAACAACAATCAAACGACGAAGACGGGGCCCCGGAAAACAAATAAATACCTATAAGCCAATCAAAGAACAAAAAGAACACCAAGGGAGAAACCAGGCGACATTACTCCTTGACAGAAGGGGAGCAGCGAGCAACCCGAGTACAGCAAAAGGCAGTCGGGTCACCTCTTGTCGAGTGTGGGCAAAATGACCGCCGGAGCTTCAACGGTGGAGCGCCTCGGCACGATACTCAGCGAGGGACATTTCTTCGGTTCAGAAAGGGTGGCAGGATCGACACCCAGCTTGTCCAGCAGCTCCTGCCACCGACGATAACAACACCAACAACGCGTCGGGGTTCAGCACATGGAGCTCTACAAGGCCACAAAGTCACGTCGTTCGATCGCACGCTTGTGCATGTTGTACCAATCTCCATCCTGTGTAGCCACGAATTGGAGGTCGTACAACACGGCAAGAAGGGCTGTGGTACTGCGTGAGCGTTGATTGTCGATAATAGTGATGAAAAAAAAAAAAGATCTCCGGCAACAAAGTCGTTCCTTCCGTCTTCCCCTCTCTCTACTGCTGTATACCACTTGTTTGCCTCTCCATCATCCCTGCCCTCTTCGTCTGCCTCTCCCTCCTCACCATGTCGGCCTCCCTCACTCTGTATAAAAACCAATAAACCCCTTTGTCATACGGTATGCATACGTACCTTGTCCGCGTGGTCGGCATCTACAGACACGAGCGAGTACATGTCTGGGTGATCGCCGAAGACAGACAGGCCGAGGGTGTCGAAGTCCGGGGCGCAGCTCTCATCTCCCTTGTGCACAAGCACCATCCCTTCCCTGAGTGATGTTGATACATACATGTAATCGCGTTATTGTATAGGCGCACGGCCACATCTTGTACTAATGGCAAGGCCGCGTTGGTACATGGTAACAAAACCCACTCCCTGCACAACAATTGTTTACTTCCAAGTATTATTTAGAAAATATATGCATGTATACAATCAAAGAAAGACTGCCCGTTCGAGATATAACGACATAGTAGTAGTCTATGCAGCAAAAAAGACTAGGCCAACATATGGGATAGAGTATTCAATCCGAGCTCTCGGTGTAGGGTTAGGGTTAGGGATAGGGTCTGCGTGCCCCCTCCCTATTCTTTTTCCAGACACTGTTGAAATCCCGCGTAGGCGGTCCTAACGACAGCAGTAGTCAAAGGGGATGGGTTGGGGCTACTTGTGTGATATCAATATAATATAATAGTACAGGCCGGGCGTTGTGGTGGACACGAGGGTTGCCCTGCCTCGGGGTTTGCACAAATTGAAGGGGGGGGGGTCGCGGACCGGGAGCGCGAAACGCTCTTTGCTGTTGCTTGTTAGAGCGAAGTGCAGCCATCGAAAATCGAGAGGTGCCAAGCGCGTTGCAAAGTCGTGAGAAAAAGAGGAAGTTGCTCCTGCTATATGCTGCCAAGGCCTGTGGTTGGAATAAAATTGACGCCAAGCACAGCAGGGGGAGGAAAAAAGACCATAATGCAAAAAATGGAACAGAATTACCTCCCTGTGTTAGTCTACCCCAACTGCCGCGTCAACACATAATGTACATCCAACAGTTCGGTTCAGAGTGGCGGGCCCGCACTCGAGCAGTTGCATTAGATCGGACGAAATAAACAAATACACATACGATGGGACCGCGCTGAATTCCGAACTGTTCATTTGTCGCCAGGGGAGTCATTTCTTGAGGAGGCAACCGATCTCCCGAGCCGGCGGCCCGCGGGCCGTACTGCAAGTGGTTACGTCGGAACGCGGACACTTGATTGGCGCGGGCCCTTTTTGCACTGGTTGACACGTGTATCAATCGCTTCGATGGATCAGTCCCTGCATCCTCTTTTGAACCACCGAAAGTTAGAACAACACTCCACGGAAGGGGATACGCATAGTATCTCAGGCAGGAACCGCAGGAGGGGGTCCAACCCCCCCCTTTTATGTGACCCCGGTTGGGTCGTCTAGCTGGTGGAAGTGGAGGATAGGAGCCACAGGGGCAGACGACAGAGTCCAATGATGGGAGAAAAAAATATACTACTATTAGAATGTCTGTGCTGGAAGTCTTTGCAGCAGCAGGGAGTGTTGGGAAAAATCAGGTGGATANGGAAGTGGAGGATAGGAGCCACAGGGGCAGACGACAGAGTCCAATGATGGGAGAAAAAAATATACTACTATTAGAATGTCTGTGCTGGAAGTCTTTGCAGCAGCAGGGAGTGTTGGGAAAAATCAGGTGGATACTGGGCTTTTGAGCCTGTCTAAACCTATAGACTACACCGAAAAATCCGTGACCACCGACAGCAGCAGCACCAAAAGAAGGTAGGTGCACTTCCAAGGATCAAGGACAGAGAGGTCTTCTTTTGTCGGTAAAAGATGCACAATCTTCTCTGTCAACCCATCCAGCTGTAAACTATTAGATCACCCTCGCACAAAAGGAGAAGACGGGGATTCAACTTGCCGCCGGTATGTACGCGAACCTCCGCTGGGAAACTGTACGGTGGTTCCACGGCATCACGAGTACTACTCTATACGACCGCTGGTTAGGTACTACCTTCAGCGACATCGTTTATCAATTGAGTCTCCCCTCACACTTTTGACGGAGTGCAGGGCAACCCCAGGTTCAAAAATCAAGGGAAGAACCCAATCACCCTGCATTTTGTTTCGTTTTGCAGCGCCGACCGCAGAGTCCTAACACGATCCCGAGTCTGTGCCCCGCACGGGCCCCCGAACATTAAGGCCGACCTCCTGTTGCTTCTGGTCGTATGAATAGCTGCGTTCACTTATCATCTCTCCTGACCTGTACGCATCCAGAGACTACACATGTTCGGGGGCAACACCAAAATCGTTCCTGAAAGAGTCGTTCCGAGAGTGCCCTCGCAAAACCGTTCGACTGTGGGTATATCTCGAATGGGTAGTCTTTCTGTGCGTGTTTTTATTTCTCCTTAAAACTGGGTGGCGCCGAACCGCCCGCAAGCCATAAAAAAAACAGTTGCGCGAAGTCTGGCAACTTCACGCTCCACGAGACTCCGAACGCGAGATAATCCTGGGCATGTACGCTATGTGACCCCCCGCCCAACCCCGCGCGCGCGCTTCCGCCCGGCCGCAACGGACAGAGAGAGAAGAGAGATCAGACTACCAGATATGAGAGACAGGGAAATTGCGGTTGGGAACGCAACTTGAAGGAGCGACGGAAAGCGGAGTAATGTGGGAAGCGGATACATTGACTGCTGCTTGTGCACGGAATATACAAACGCAGCGTAGCAGACGCCCACCCAGCCCGACGCTCTCGCCCACCACCATCCAAGGGAGGGGGATACCCAAGTAACGGTAGTTCTTCGTGCATACCGCTGTTGTCAGCCTACCTGGCGAAGCGCTCGCCCGTGTCGTAGTCGTTGTTTGAACCGATCGTTCCAACAAGCTGCTTGTAGTCGGTGACAACCACGGGGGCGCCGGAGACAACGGGGGACGACGTGCTCAGCAGCAAGGCCGCCGAGGCCAACGCCACCGCCACGGGGTTAAGGGAGCTTTGTCGCGGTCGGACGCTCATTTTGGTTGTTCTTTGCCAGCGGTGTTTTTCTGCCTCACTGGGTGGCACTCTGCGTGCTACTGCTGTGGGCAGAGGAGCGCAGGTTTTCTCTGATAACAAGAAAAATGAGTAATTCAGCGGCGTTGAGTATCGAACTCCCGGTTTTGGCAGGCCTCTCTTTGTGGCGGAGAGGGCCTCTTTCTTCACACTTAGCTCAGATCAGCGTCTAACCAGCGCTGCTTGGCCAACCCCCACGTCATCATGGTGAGTGAAGTGCTGCATTTCAACAGGTGTGGGCGATAGGAAGTTGTGCCCCAGAGTCTCCTGCTGCTTTTTGCGAAAACGTGGCGAATGTGTGGGCAGCAGCAAGAGAGAGACAACTGTGCGTCGCTTCCGCCCGCCCGGCTTTTTTCTAGGGCCCCGGCTGCCCTAGAAGAGGGCACCTCACGTATCTGTCGTGTGTGCAGCAGCAAGGCGGACAACATGTCCTGCGATGAAATGAATTGAGGCTATTCAAGAGGAAAGTTGACTACCGTAGGTCGTGCAATGTTGGTGGCGCACAACGCTCTGTACACAAACGCCTTTCATATTCTATCAGGCAGGCTGCCACACACGAGCGAAAGGAGGAGCAGGCACCACTGCTGCACAGCTTCTATTTCACCAATGCCAGCAGTGACCTTGCTCTCGTTTTGATCTTCCCCTCTCTCTCTATCGGGACGAATGCCTGGGTTTCCGGCCGTAGTTGGTGTTGATGCGTGTGACCCGTTATCTCCGTGCAATGAAGGATCCCGCAGTGCTCCGAAAAAACAGAGTGAAATCGAAACCGCTGGCACACACGTGCCATAATGCTCCGTTGGATGGGTAGTGTTTTATGGTGCAGCTGCTGTGTACCATGGTAAACAAACGAACACCCGCAGCAAACCCCCATTCGGCAGCTATTTGCCACTTCGAAGTTTCATGCAATGTCCGGCGCTTCGCGCTTCCTAAACTCGTTTCACGTAGGCAGACGGTGTAACGGTGCGCCATTCCTGCTGTATGCCGATCCTTCAAGTTTACACCCTAGATGTACAGCAGTATGCGTACGGTGGACACAATGTTTTTCCCCGCGTGTCGTATACCGTACATCAGTCAGATGTCGTCTGCAGCTCGTGCAGTCGCAGAGGAACAAAAACAGTGTTTTTAGTCCGAATGAACAAGAAGCCCGGCGATTAGGCAACTTCCATTTTTTTGTATTCGATGTTGTTGTGGTAGCTGCTGCTGCTGTTGTCATAAGATATAGTAGCTGTCGCTAAAACGAGCGACAGCTGATAGATGTAACTG